GTAGCCGGATCGAGCTGGGAGATGTGACACCACACAACATCAAACAGTTGAAGAGATTAAACCAGGTCATCTTTCCAGTCAGCTACAATGACAAGTTCTACAAGGATGTGCTGGAGGTTGGAGAGCTAGCAAAACTTGCATATTTCAGTGATATTGCAGTAGGTGCAGTATGCTGTCGGGTGGATCATTCACAGAATCAGAAGAGACTTTACATCATGACACTAGGATATCTGGCACCTTACCGAAGGCTAGGAATAAGAACTAAAATGTTAAATCATGTCTTAAACATCTGTGAAAAGGATGGCACTTTTGACAACATTTATCTACATGTGCAGATCAGCAACGAGTCAGCAATTGACTTCTACAGGAAGTTTGGCTTTGAGATCATTGAGACAAACAAGAATTACTATAAGAGGTTAGAGCCTGCAGATGCTCATGTGCTGCAGAAGAACCTCAAAGTCCCTTCTGGCCAGAATGCAGATGTGCAAATGATAGACTACTGAACATATTACAAATGAACTTTCTTGCACTTGCTTGTCGCCAAATAAAAGAGAGGCCCATTGACTTCCCCCCTCCCTTCTTTATAAAGCTTTTCCTTCCTCCTTAATCTTTTTCTTTCTTTTCTTCCCTTTCCTCTGAAAGTTTTAATACTTTCAAAGACTTTAAAAATCATTTTTGGATTGTTTTGGTGGTTTTTTTGTTTGTGTTTTTGGGTTTTTTTTTTGTTTGGGTTGTTTTTTTTTTTAAGATAGTTCAATTAAAGGAAGGAAAAGGTAAAGAGCTGTTTAGTTTCACAGTTAAGATATGTGGTCCCAAAATTTTGGGGGTTAAGTAATTTGATTTTTTGTTAGCTGATTTTTTTAATGTCCTTTCACATTGAAGGGCAGAGCCTACAAAAATACCATTTCAAAAGACTAAAACAGCAGCAATAGCTTGTTCTCTAATTAAAAGACAAGTTTAGTATGTTTGTGGTACTTTGGCTTTTAAAAGTGGGATGCTAATTCCTCGACATTGCCTTCACTCCACCTTTAGTCCTTCTGAGCACTATCTCCAGAGTTGGACCATATCCTTGTAAGAAGTTATTTTAGTTTTTTATAAGAAGTGATTGCCTCCCTTCCTATTGGTGGTTGAGGGTGGGTGGGGCAATTTGGATAGGTAGGGTTGTATATTTTGGTCTCCGTACTGTTAAATGCTTTTTGATAATGAGTGGGCTGGTTGTTAGCAGGTTCACTTTTCCTGCTTTTGATTGTTACTAGTGGCATTAACTTTTAGAGTGAGGGCTGGTGAGATTACTTTTTTTTTTTTTTAAATATCCTGGCTAGAGATAAGGCCTTTAACTGACCTAAAGAGGTTTGTTGTGATTTACTTTTTTTTCTGTGGGTTTTTTGATGGTGGTGGTGGTTGAGTAAACCCAACAATGGCTTTTCTGACCTTAAAAATGGAGTTGATGGTTCATATATCGTTTAAAGAAACCTGAAGCAGGTATTTTCTGCTGAACATATTAAAAAGTCCCTAACAGGACACCTTGATGGACTTGTGGCACAATGAATGCAGTTTATCTTGGTTAGTGCAGGCTGCTCAAACTGTGGCCTACACTTGATTATATAGGAAGGAATATCTAGACAGGAT